GAATACCTATGTTATCTACTTTCTCCGCTTTTAACATCCTTAAGATAACTGATAGTTTGTTTTTCATTCCATTAATGTTAAGGAAGCCATTTATAACTTGCCAGCGAATTTATTCTCCATAATTAGTTAATAAAATACTAATTTAGGAAGTTTAGTTCGAATAACAACTTAAATGATTTAGGGCAAGGAGAAGTAAACTAACATTCTGCTAACTACTGTGAGGAGAGAAAAAAGAGGTAGTGGACCCTAACTATAAAAATGGAGAGACTAATTAACGGATAGAAGGATAACGATTTATATGAGTCGAAAAAAAAATTAAGGAAGGGAACTAATCACAAAGAAAGTTTTATAAGTGATGAAAAAAAATATTCAAACAAGAGCAAAAAGGTGACTAGAAGGAATTAATTTAGAAGATGTAATAAACGGTATCTAGCTAACGAAATAGTGTAAATCTTATTTCTTAGGTAAAAAGATTTTGGACCTCATTAATTATTTTAGTAATTTGAGTTACCCGAGATTACACCACAAACATGGTTCCGCCATTGTTATGATTTAAGAATATAGAAAATATGTACATTGGATTCCATAGGGAAGCCCATCAAAAAAATATTAAAAGGGAGTTGTCATGTAGGACAAATTTCAATTAAGAACGATAAATTTTGAGAAATAGCAAGACCTTCGAGAAAAATTAAAGGGACCAACCAAGGGAAGAAAAATAAAGAAAACAATTACAGTAAGAAATGGAAAAGGAGCAATATATTAACCTCTATTCCGGTGTGCTCGCTTGAATCCGAGTTTTTTAAGTTAAGCAGCGATATAAAACTAAAAAAAATAATTATTACTTCTCGTGTTATCGTTTTCGTTTAATAATAAGTATTAGATTTTTATAAAATAAAACATGGAAGAATAAAAATAATAATAATAGAAACTTCTCATGTTATCATTCCGTTTAATAAAGTACTATATTTTTATACAAATAAAACATGGAAGAATAAAAAAAATAATAATGGAAAGAAATTTCTCGTGTTATCGTTTCCATTTAATACTTAATTAACTCCAAACGATTAATTTTTAATTTTTAATATAAGCGATATTTTGATATTTTTTTAAAGTTTACTTTTTTACTTCTAAATAAAATCAGACGAAATTAAAAAATAAACAATCTCATTTAACAAGTTAGCAACAAGGAGATTAAATGTCCATTAATATCTTAGTAAAATGGTGGAAAAATTTAAAATAGTGCAGTGTTGAATATGTTAATCGATGTTATTTTATTATTTATTTTGGCAATTGATTTATTTTTTATATATCAATTTGTAATTAAATTTAATCGCTGAAAATTTTATATTAACATTTTTTTATACATCAATTTGTATTAGTTATTTTTTTTGTTATTGTTAAAAAAAAGATATATAGAGAGAAATTGTTTTTGTTGAATGAGGAATAAGAAAAATGTAATTTATCTTTGAAAATAAAAATGTAATTTATCATATAATAAAATTTAAATTATGATTAAAAATAAAATGATAATCAATAAAAAATGTGATATAATTATCTAACTATAATAAAACGTGAAATTAATACAATTTCAACATGTTGGCAAGACGAGTCTTGAAATCGTGACTTCACGTTATCAGCACGACTCAATAAAGAATGTAAATTTAATGGCAAAGTGAGAGTATCTTAGAATTCCAAAGATGCCAGGAAAGTGGTCAAGAGCTCTATGACCATAGAAGACATTTACAATCTAGGTCTAGAGGAAGACACCGCGGAGCCAAGTGGCATAAAGGGCGAGATGAAATTGTTTCATTTGAATGAATCACCTGGTGTACAAGAGGTTAATCACATGCAAAAATAGCTACGTAACAACAAAACTCATTCAGACGCACATGGTAAATCTCTTATCAAGCAACACCAGTTCATCAATGACAATAGCCCCGCACAGAATTTCGATAAACATACGATTTACGCTGCGACTATTGCCGCGACAAACGATTCAACGGACGGCACAGCAACTTTCACGATAATCGTTTTGATCAAAGTTACGATAATTGTCACTATAACCGCAACCGTTTCAATAATCGCAACGATAACTACTACGACGATCGATACAACAATAGCGGGTAAAACGTCCACGGCAATCCACGACTATCATTGTGACCATCATCAAAGCCCTGATCGACGGGATGACTGCTATAGAGGTGATAACCGAACCAACTATCGCCGTCGTGGTCAGCACATACACAACCCTCAAAATATTAATGGTTTTCCGAAATATTTGTCGAGGCCCAACAAGTACAAAAATGACAATAATACTTCTGTATACACAAAGATTGTGATTGTAAATTGAATACGAACCATGCCATGAACATCGAAGTAATTGATGATGACGACGACTCAAACACAGACCTTAAATAATATAATCTGTAGAATTTGGAAGTGTACAATCTGGGGGTCAAGGATACGCCTACAACGTGACAGTAAGCATCAACAACATACCCACGTTGATGCAAGTTGACATCGGTACCAGGTACAGTATACTTCCGATGACAGCTAAGATTGTAGGCATAACCGCGATACGTAAGACGGACATGAGACTCACTAGTTATGACGGCAGCGCTATCAAGATATTAGGTCTTGCCAATGTGAACGTTAAGTATGAAGGAAACTCACCAACACTGGAGGCCATTGTAGTAGATTATGATAAGATTACCCTGCTAAGACGTATGTGGTTACACGCCTACAATAACATACTAAAATCGTTCGTTGTGGGCAACATAGATGATGATCTTGAAAAGGTTATATCGGTAATGAAAAAAGACCTCTCACCAAAACGCTACCATAAACCTAATATGATCAGACAAGTGAAAATTCACCTGAAGCTCGATGCCGTGCCTAAGATCATACCTTTAAAGAGAATTCCGTGAGCCAAGATTGATGCAACGACTCAGAAATTGGATTGGCTGAAACATGACAAAATAAACCTTGCTCGAAAGGAATTTAGATGTCCGATGCCATGCACAAGCGACCCGGTTTGGAAATTAACTAGAGGTTGTCTTTACTTTACCAAGCCATCCGGTTTGAAAAGAAGACTGCACCATGAACATGGGTGGCGTATTGCACGATGATCATGAATGTTAATGACGTTACCACTAAACTTATCCAAGGAAATCATAAGCCGAATTTCATTGGAGGGTGGAATGTTGAATATGTTGATCAGTGTTATTTTATTATTTATTTTGGCAATTGATTTATTTTTTTATATATCAATCTGTATTTAAATTTAACCGGTGAAAATTTTATATTAATACTTTTTTTATACATCAATTTGCATCAGTTATTTTTTTTATTATTGTTTATAAAAAAAGATATATAAAGAGAAATTGTTTTTGTTGAATGAGGAATAAAAAAAATGTAATTTATCTTTAAAAATAAAAATGTAATTTACCATATAATATAATTTAAATTATGATTAAAAATAAAATGATAATCAATGAAAAATGTGATATAATTATCTAACTATAATAAAACGTGGAATTAATACAATTTCAACATGCAATATCTGAAAGAGGGTGTCTACCTTAAAGAAGAAAATAGTAAATAAAATTAAATGGAAGAATTTAATTTTACAAGTTAGACAAGGAGATTAAATATACATCAATATGTAAAATGGTGGGAGAGATTTAAAATTGTGCAGTGTTTGAAGGAGGTGGAAAAAAACTTTGAAACTAGACATGTTAAGTTTAAGTATATCAAAAGGTTTCAGTTTAATTTTCAAAAGTTTAAGTTTAATACCATATCTACAAGTTGAAATTTTAAAGTTCTACAAAAAGTTTAAGGAAATGCAGACAATTCTAGGTTCAAAGATTTAATGTATAAACTGAACATGACTAATGATTTTAATGATCTTTATAAATTAAATTCATTTACAAAGGATTCCGTCCGAAAGCATAAACATGAAATCAAATACATGATAACCTGAATCTTGATTTTCCAGCTTTCATTCATAGAAGCTAAATTTTTATTTCAATAATAAAAATTCTATTTATACAAAATGTAGGAAACACCATAATTTATATTTCATAGTCATTTCACATATTGAAGGTCGATTTATCCGAGATCATTATAAATTTTCTGATAAACATGACTAGTGATGTTAAAAAATTCTATTTATACAAAATTAGTAGGAAACACCATAATTTATATTTCATAGTCATTTCACATATTGAAGGTCGATTTATCCGAGATCATTATAAATTTTCTGATAAACATGACTAGTGATGTTAAAATTCTTATTAACACAAGTTTACATCTAAATTTAAATTCTTTTACACAAGTTTACATCAAAAAACAAAAGCTATAGCCAATAATTAACGTTTTTTAGCAATATTGTCACACATTAATTATTCAAGCTGTTTTGTTTCTTTTTAACTGTCATTTTGGGATTTTTTGTTTTTAACTCAATCAAAACAAAACCCAGATTTAATGAAGGAATTCATAGCATTATCATCTTCTGTTAATCACTCAGCCCACAAGAAATAAAATTAAATGAAAGATTCACTTATTGATTTTTTCAGCTTGTCATTTCGAAAAAATATTGAATCAATTTACTAAATAAACGGAATTATGATTATTATGTTCTATTTCCCAGTTTTCAAAAAATTTTTTAAAAGTATTTTTCAATCCACATATTTTTTTTTTAAGTTTAAAAATTGATTGCCATTAAAATATCGATTTGCCTAACTTTGATCGTAAAGTCATTTGATCGTAAAGTCATTTGATCGTAAATTTTGTCCATTTTTTTCTGATTGGTCTATTTAATCGCGGTAAATTAAAATCATTTATAACCCTAACCCTAACCTTAACCCTAACCCTAAACCTAACCTATAAATTAAAAAAATCGTCCATTTTGACCAAAAATGGACAAAATGGACCATTTTACGATCAAAATAATACGATCAAAGGAGGCCCTCCCAAAATTATCGGTTAAATAAGGCTATCAGCTGTTGACATTCAAAAAATTATTTTAATAAGATAAGAAAATGAGATATATAACGTTAGCAACTTGTACTCTCAATCAATGGGCTATGGATTTTCAAGGCAACATGGAAAGAATAATTAAAAGTAAAATATATATATTATATAATGCCTCTATAGTTTTGGCATAGGCATTGAAATTGCTAAACAAAAAGGAGCATTTTATAGGCTAGGACCTGAATTAGAAATACCGTATATAAAACACTTTTAAAATATAATATATTAAAAATATAGGGGTTATGGTTGTCAAGATCATTATTATGAGATAGACACATTTTTGCACTCATGGCAAGTTTTTGCACTGCTGATGAATAATCCTATTACTCAGGACATTATCTGTGATGTTGGAATGTAAATTAATAAATTAAATATGTGTTAAACTGTACCATTCTGTTTCATCAAATGGTGCTAATATTGGGTTATTAGAATGGTTTTATTGTTTTATGAAATGATCATACTTAATTTAGAATTTAAAAATAATAAAAATATGATATATAATATACAAAAAAATATTTTATAATAGTAAATTAGGTTTATTACTATTTATGATATTAATCTAATCTCAAGACAAATATTTTAAAGACCTGCATTTTTAATATACAGACATAAATTTTTTATAGAGACAATTTTTGAAATTTTTTTACTATATATAATATATGTTAGTGGCTATATGTTTTTCCAAAAAAATCTTATAATTTTTAAACTTAAAAACATATTTTGAGCATGTTTTTTGAAAAATAAAGAATCTGATTTTACTAGAAATGTACACCATCATGTTTGGATAACCTACTCTATGAATTTCACAAACTTTTAAACCATTATAATTTTGTAACCTCTCTATAATTAATTATGTTAAATGTTTGCTAAGAATATTAGTAGCCTGATGTGAAAATGCATTAGGTTCCCTTTTTTAAAACCTCCAATTTTCTCAAGCTTTAAATATAATTTGAAATAATGAAATAGGTATTTTGGATATTTGCAAATAAGCAGTTTATATATAAATTAGAAAATATTTATGTAATTATTTATATTTAAAATTAAATAAATTGTAATAAATGACAGAATTAGATAAGGAACAAAATTCTGGGCCCCTCAAATAAATTTTTGAGTCTTCCTGGGACTGCATAGGAGTTATAAATAGATTTATATTCAATCTTATAAGTGTTGGATTTTTTTTAAATAATATATTTTGAAATATGAGATTAATGTCTGAATTGAGTGATTCCTGTAAATATTTGCCTATATAATACTTAAATTATAAAAATTCAAAACATCACATTGCCTATTGCATATTCATAAAGGAGTGAATTAATAACTATGCTAGTAACATTTCATTTCAATACAGAAATAATAAGCCCAGATCTGTAAAAACATCATACATGAATTCAACTCAAAACCACTGATAAATTCAGGACTTATTAATCAAATATACAGACTTTAAAAAATTAAATTAATAGCCTGTCCCTAGGCTTCTAGCAAATAACCAATGTCTAGGAATCTCTATATTTTCTTTAATTATATTCCTAAATTTTTAAATTTGATTTTTAAAGATTTATAGAAATTTTATGTGAATTATTGTAGAAGACATAAATCTTTAGTTTGGACAACTTTAACAAATTTTTCCAGAAAATTTTTTTTATAGCATCATCTGGTAATTCAAATTTGAACTTAATATACTTGTGATTTAAACAATGCATTTTAAAAAAATGGATAACATAATACATATTGCTCATATTTGTAATTATTTCCCATCATTATATTTTCTTCACCTATGATCAGACTATATAATTTTGTTTTAAAAAATTAGCTGTAAACCTGTCTGAGAATATCCAAGATCAGCAGTAATTTCTTTTGCATCTTTCTCATCATTTCAGTTAAATTAAAATGCTTTACTCTAAATTTACACGCTACATTTATTTTATAAAATTATATGTATGTATATTTGAAAACATTGTTGATTCATTAAGTTAAAATGTAATTTTCTATTTCATATATATTCATGGGGTAAGTAATCTTCCTCATCTCTCATTCAATAACCTTAAATACAAAATAATGTCCAAGTTGCCGTTTTTCGTTAATTTGTAAGTCTATAGCAATGTTGTTGTAAGCATTCCGAAAAATTTTGAGTATTTGTTCATCATTTTTTTTTTACTTATGTCATCCACTATAAAGAGAATTCGATTTTCATATCACCTTTTTGAAAAATATTTTAAACCTTTAAGATGCTCACTCTTTAATATAGTCTTTCTATCTTGATTATCTTTTCTTCTGCAATAATGATATTGTATGGACTTTCGTTAAACAGATATGTGATATGCATCCTTATATATTGCGAAATTGATAATTAATACATTACAAGCATCTCAAACCTATATTTTTTTTAATGAACATCTTTCCTTGAAAAATATAGTGCTTGTTCCCTTATATCAGACCAATAAAAATCTTCAGTTTCAGATTTATGTTGGTATAAACAAAAATAAAAATTCAGAGAAAGCATAATTCTTTGAATTTTTTTTATTAAAATTTTTATATTTAACAATCGTGAATTTTTTAAATTTAATTATATTTTTTTACTTTATAATTAAAAAAGAATTTTGTATACATCATTGGATTATATGGCTTAGTCATAATATAAGAGTTAGGCTATTTTGTTGTTAGGAACTGGCTTAAAATTAAAAGGAAAACTATTTTACAATGGGGGGGGGTGGTTTAAAATAAATCAATCTCTTAATTTGATAGGGATCAAAACTTAGCCAAAACCTGACAAGGGGGGCTCAAATCTTAAAAAAGAGCCCCCCTTCCACGATACATCCCTGGTTATTAAACAAAAAGGGAGATTTTATTTTAGTATATTTAAAAACTTATAACATTTTAACATTTATCTCTTACTCGAACACATATCAACTTTAGGCCAGTTATGCACAAGAATGTTGGCTTCAATTGTCGAATCATCTTTTATAACAAGTTCACTTCAAATTCAATAAATATTACTTTTATTAAGGGCAGTGTCTGAAAAATCAAAAACTTTTTAAACTTTAATTGAAAAAATAAATAATCTATTTTAAACATATCAGGTCAATTCAGCGAAATTTTTTTGCGAAAGTCGTATATCGCAATCGAATTTTATAGCGAAGGTAATATCGTGAAACCAATTTCGCTAAACATTTATAGCTAAGACAAAATCGCGAACCCATCATTGTGAATTTATTTCCGCGAAACCTCGACCGCAAATACTATAGAACGAATACATTTTAGCGAAACTTTTATCGCGAACCATTTATAGCGAATGTATTTGCGCGAAGTTAATATCCCGAGAGCATTACCGATTTACAGTAAATATATTGCGAATTCATTTATTTCAAGGAAAATACATATTCAATATCAATATACCCACCAAAGTTCCTTAAATCATAAACGCGAAATGTTTTAAGGTTATTATTTTTACTTATTTCTATTAAGTAAGCATGCAACCTTTATCTAGTGTGATAGAAAATAAATTAGCCAATTTCTTTCTGGTCTCTCTCACTCATGGTTGTGAATACGGAGGGGAATTTCTATTAAGTAAGCATGCAACCTTTATCTAGTGTGATAGAAAATAAATTAGCCAATTTCTTTCTGGTCTCTCTCACTCATGGTTGTGAATACGGAGGGGACATTTTGATTCGAGTTTTTACTCTAATAAATTTACATCCCCCCCCCCCCCCAATTATGCCATTAAAAGTTTATTTTAACAAATATTCTGAAATACTTAGAAATTAATCAAGATAAAAAATACTGAAAGCTAAGAAAAAAGAAATATCAAAATTTTTTGAGCAATATATAATATTTTCTAAGAAATTAAATTCGGAGAAAATTAAAATTTTTACTACCAAAATCATCTTTTGGAAATAAAAATTAATCTAGGTGGTTTTGATTCTGAGTAATTAAGTGAAGAAAAATAATATATGCTGTAAGACTGTATACTAAATTAAGCATTACATATTGGCTTAAGCTTCAGAATTAGTGTTTGCCAAAGTTTGGAAAATTTCATACTTAAGGCTGCGTCTTAATATTAGATTCAAATTCATATCAAATTTTTTGAACTAATATTTTATATCTAAGTAAAGAAGAGATAGAAAAATATCTATAAATTTCATAAAATCAATAAGATTGAAAATATTTTAAATTAGGGAAATCCCTTATACTTATATGTAATTTATTTTTGAATCGCCATTCAAAATTCAATAAAGACAATCGAATAGTTTATAACTCTATTTTGGTTAGTAACTAGTAAAACTGATTGATTAATTTATAAATATTAAGTGCCTCAGACAATTATCGCAACCCATATATCTATTTTGCCAATAAGGATTAAGGTTTGACTAATGAACTCATTGATTATATTAATAAAGCCTAGGTTCCTTGTGTGCGATTCTTATGAAATAAGACTTTGAGGAAAAGCATAGTGCAGTATAGCAAATTTTTTTATTATAATGATAAATTTTATAAACCAAATATTTAATTAATCATTATAGAAATTTATTAAGGCTAAAGGATAATTAAAAACTATCATTAAATCAATCTTGTACCCATTTTTTTTAAAAGATATTTTAATTAATATGATCATAAAAAGAAATGTTTCAAAATAAAATAATTAATATTGGCAATAATCACAATATTAACCTCATGATATTAAATTCGCTATAATATCTTAGCGATATATGTTCCGCGAAATAGTTTTCGCTATATTGTCTTCGCGATTACGTTTTGCTGTAATGACTTCGCTATAAAATTTTTGCTATTATTGATTCGCGATTAAAGTTTGGCTGTAATGTATTCCCTTTAAAGTTTTTTAGCGATAAGGATTTCACTATAAAAAATTCGCGATAAACGACATTCCCGTTAAATGTTTCGTGATAAAAGTTTCGCTGAATTTACATGGAAACATTTAAAATATAAAAGAAAAACACATTCAAAAACATAAAAATTTGCGAAAGTTTTAAACTTTGCGAATTTTTACAAAATGGTTTTGGACATTGCTTTAAATCTGATCTATGAAGAAAAATTAATTTTTTTAAATTATTATTTTTTTTTTATAACTGAATACTTAATAGTATTATAATTATTAAAATTCATCTCTTCTAATTATACAAAACAATTTTAAAAAAAATCTTTAAGGAAAATCTTATTAATAAGGCCCAAAATTCACATGTGTAACGATGGAAATTACAGGGAGTCTAGATGGTTTGCCCCATGGAACTCCTTGAAAACCGTCGAAAATTATTTTCTTCCAGAAGTTATATCAGAAATAATTGGCCAAAAGTCAACTTATATAGGTTTTTTAAATAATTTTTTCTCTCTTCTGCCTCCCCTCGCCTTATCTATTTCATTTCCTCCGCACATCTAGAGATAATCAAGCGTGAGCCCTTCTCTTTAATTTTTAGAATGTAACTAGATACCTACCACATGCCCCTAGGTTGTACCTATCCCAATTTAGGCCTCCAGAAAACCGAATCCATATAATGAAATATTCTTATTCTAGTTTATTATTTTAAGACATGAAATTTTTTACGATCATATTTGTAATACCTATAAAAATAGATTAATTCCCACAAGATTTAGAAGAATCTTATTAATTCCTTTTCTTCTAATTGCATAATTATTTATAAATATTTGTTATAATTTGGATTTTTTGGAAATTTTAAACAAGAAGTCACTATCACAATTTATAAAAAATCAATGCACTGATGCCAGGAAAAATTTTAAAAATGTACCCACTTTTAAATTTTAACAAGCAGTTTCTTCGAAGCCCCACCCCTCCGTCGTAAAAGCCACTGTAACGGGAACCTAATTAAGAAAAAAAATCCTATCTTTTAATATTTTTTTTGAGAGAGGCTCATCTCAAAGACACCATATTTTGGATTGGGCGCATCATAAAATGTTATATCATAGGTCGAAAGCGTCCGGAACGAAAGTGCTAGTCCTGGGTAGACGTTTGAGATTCTCTACCTCCCACCTTCCGTATCTGTAATAACTGAATTAAAATTTTAACATAGATATTTTAGGAATCTCTTCAACTCATCAACGTCCCTACCCCATCACTCAAATAAATAATTTTATGTTCCATGAATGATCCTAACTAGATGGCATGATTTTTTTAAGATGAATTTTCTGTAAAATGGATCGAATTAGATCTAGGATCTTAATAATCAGAGTTGTACCGATGATACCAGCGATATTTTCTTGTGGATACCAACTTATATCACAATTTTATAAAATTTTGATTTATTTCGCGTTCCCTTCTTTCCTTAAAAAAAATGCCACATCAAAAAATATAATACAATATTATTATTTTTTGGCGCGTAGGCCCTAGGAATAAATCAGGCAATTAAGTGATATTTCTCTGCCTAATAATTAACATTTATTATTAGTTAATTAAAATAGTTCTTAATAATGATTGACTTAATAATATTGGTTATTTAAATTAGCTCTTAATAATGATTGACCTGATTTCTAGGTGATGGAGTTCTTACAACTTTAGATGCCTGTTTTGGTTCAGAAATTTGCGAAGAATTATGGACATCAGATAGGTTATTTTTAAAAAATAAAAAATTATAAACTTGAGTTGAGAGCTATGATATCTATTATACTAATAGATTGGCGATTCATTCATTAAATGCATTTTAAAAGTGTCCATGCATAGTAGTATTCAACTGTAGCACCATTTTGTGGTTTGAACATCGATTGAATGGCATTAATGGGCATTCATATGGTGATAAAGACAATTAGTCGAAGTGAAAACCACATAATGAGTCTACAGCTGAAAGTATGGACACTTAATTAATGAATCGCCAATCTAGTGTGTAAATATATACATTATTGATTGAGAGATAAAAGTAGTGATAATTTTTTTTGTATTATTTTCAAGTTAAGCTAATATATCTTACCTAACGAAGTTATTATTTTTATTATACCAATGAATACCAGAAAATTAGGGACATTATTAATTAACAACATATTTTTATTCGAGCATTATAAGAAAATTGCGAAATTAATATAAAAATAAACTTCTTATAATAATAATACAGTCAGGGGCCCAGTGAAACCTTTATATAATATAATTTTTTTTATAAATATATTTTATATAATTTGAGTAGGTCATATCCTATATAATGTGGTCAGGGGCGGACTGATTAAGTTATTAGTGCCGTTTTAGGTAAAATTAGGAATATAATATTATAAAGGGAGATAGGTAGCAAACTATTAGTTTTAAAGGGCACTTGAAAAAGACCTTAGATAGTAGTTATATGATTGAAAGATACTCCCTATCTCTATAAGGCAAAACAACCTTATTAGCAGTTAAATCTATAACTGTGAATCCGAGAAAATTTTAAAAGTTAAATCCGCTTTGATTTTTTTGAAATAATGGGGCTATCATTATATCTTCTAGCTAAAAAAATTAAGAGCTTGGAAAAGGATTGAAGATGGCAAGTCTTCTATATCTTTTATAACTTTCACCTCCACTCGAAATATAGCTAAATGGCTACAAATTTAAATTAAAATATTCCTGATTTAAAGCTGTCAGATAACATCTGGATACAAAATGAAGTGCTAAAGACTCTAATAAGTCTAACAAGGAGGTTGGATAGTGAATACAGTGATGAATGCTCAAAGATTCGATTAATGTCTATAATTTTAAAGCATTTCGTCATAAAATTGATCAAATTATAAAAAATATCCGGTGAATAAAGAGCTTATACGAATGTGCAATATTTTCAAATTTTTTTAAAACTATTTTATCAATTTTATGAAATATCTAAAGTATTTCTGACCTTGAAGAAAGTTTCATAATTAGAAAATGTATTCAGTGACAAATTACGACATGAATTGTCTTCATTTGCCCGTTATTTACAAAGTTTTCAGGTTAAACGTTGAAATATTACTAGTAAATCCAACAAGTTACCAATGCTTAATATATATCTATGAGATTCTTTGATGTTGATGCTATGATATGCACACAACCAGAGTTTGGCATGTTACTTAATAAAAGTAACTGTTACCATTATGAAATATAACGGCTAAGTTACCATCGTCTCTTCAAAAAAAAGTTAACAGTTATGTTATCTTTATTTAGAACATGTAACAGTGACAAAAAAGTTCTTAATACATGATTAATAAGAATAAATGAAAATAAAAAAATGTGATTATAAATTCTATTGATTCATTTTTCTGTAGTCTAAAAAAGTAGTATATAAAGAAACGAAAACTAATTTATTAATATTTTATTGTCTAATTTAATAAAAATCATGGATTATCAATTTGAAGCATTCATTTGATCAAATAAATAATTTTGTCCCCTGTTCAAATTTGCAAATCAATAAGAATTACCCCCTCCCCTCTGTCGATAATTTTGGCTACACGCCTGATTGTATGAAAATCCTATGATGCTCAATATTTTAAGACTGCAATTCACCCGGCTATAAAACTGATTCAAAGATCAATGATATACTTATAATATTTACAGGATGATTAAATAAATCACAAATTAATGTATTGCCATGAATAGCAACCCCTTCCTAAAAGACCTATCGCGTAATTTTTATTATTAAAGGTATATATAAACAATGTTGAATATTGCAAAAGAAAATTTCCAACATTTGCAAAGAGCTTAAAAATGTTTCACTCTTATATTAACAACCACATCTTTTTCAAAAAAAAATTTGCGATTAATATTAGATAGCATACTGTTAATAATTATAATTTGAAAACTTACAATTTTACCAAAATTATACTGCACATATTGCTTTTAAATTATAAAATAATTAATAACCATTCCATAATAATCGTACACTTTAACATTATTGGTAATTGATTTTTAACATTGTACAACAAAACAAATACAAACATAAAGGTACATAAAAATTACACAAAAACAGTAAAATTTTTATTATTTTTATTTTTCCAGAGTTTAAAAATAAATCTTTTGAGAAAAAAAGATTTTTTTTTAAAGAAGAAAGAGTTTTAAAAATTTTACCTAAAATTTTAAATATGTAGTAAAAAAAAATCTTTTCATAAGTAAATCATTTATAATTTTCATGCATAAAAAATCTTTCAAGATGAAATCAAAATTTTAAAAAAAAATATTCAAAGATTTTTTCAAAAAAAATTTGAATATTACTTTAATTTTTTTATTTTTGAAAATATTTTTAATGAATTTAATTATCAAATCAAATAATGTTTCCATTATTCGTACAAATACAAATAAGGAATTACTCGATTCGAATCGAAAATACGAATGATATAATTATTCGATTTTTTGTATTTTTCGAACTTATTTTTAAATCTAGTTAAATAAATATTAATATACTATAATATTTTAGAAACAGAAATTTATTTCTTTTATTAATAAAATAATGTATAAAACGATAATTAAAAATATCTTTGGGATTAAAAACAAGGTATTGATTTCTTAAATTTTATTTAATTTTATTAACATGCGTTTTATTTATATTTTCCAATTGGACCGGAAATTTGAAGTGCAAAAGAGACCTTCTAAGGCCGGGCCTGGGTTTTTGATTTTATGACTGGCTTGGGCCGAGCTTGGGTTTAAAATTTTTTTAATTTTAATTTAATTTATTTAAATTAGTTGTTAACTTAAAAAAAATATTAAAATTTTTTTCTTCTAATAAAAATAAATTTTAAGTATCGTAAACAAAATGATTGCCTAAATATGAAATATTGTTTATTTGAAACATTAAATTAAATCTTTTAGGGTTTAAGCCAGACTTGGATAAAATCTTTGAAACTTATGGGCTTGGGAATTTTTTTAATATTAAATATGGGCCAAGCCTGGGCCCACAATTTTTTTTACTGTGAACCTAAGTCGCGACTGATCAAAAAATCTAGGCCCATGTAGTTCTATGATTTGCAGGACTCTATTCTATAACAGAGTATATTAGCTTTGACTATTTCATGGAACGTTGGGATAAAATTTAAGTAGAATTTGACCATGAGAAGTCTTTTTTTGAGAAAAAATTCAAACGATGTTATTTAAATCGTATCGATCTATTAATCACACTTTAATTGGAAATTCTAAATTGGTAAAAATGTCATGATATGAATATATATTTAATAATAATAAATAAAATCAGCCCTAATGTCGATATGTCTTTGGATGGTGTAGAAATCGTAACTAATTCTAGTGGTAGCTTGTTTGAACTTAGAAAAGCGCATGTTATAGTTAATCTAATCAAAAATGTCACTTTCAAGGTATATATTTAAAAACAACTATTATTCAAATTTTGATACCCTAAACTTAATAAGTAAAAAATATATGTTAATATAACGAATGTGGAGTGGAGTGGAAGGGAAGAAAATAAGATAATAAAAGAAAGAAAATGAATTGAAATAACAAAGAAAACGAATTAATTTTTTCGCTGGTCTAAATTGGAACTTAAACCTATGGGGTTCACTGCATTTATTTCTCACACAATCAAATCTTTAAAAGGTAGTAAAATGAGGGATGTTGGAAGGGTCAATACATTAATAATTAATACGCTGAAAGAAAAGAAATTTTGTTTTAATACTCACCATCAAAACAATTAGTGTATTATCTCCTTTTAATCATTTTTATAAAAACATTTTTTCTTACTAATATTTTCACTTATGATATTGTCTCTTTTCCAACACATTTTAACATTTTTATAAAAATATTTTTTTCTTTACAAATATTTTCACTTATGATATTATCTCTTTTCCAACACCTATTAGATGCATCTACAGCTAAGATTATTTCTAAATCTATATTAAAACACATAAAATTGGTTCTTCACCAATTTTCTTTTTCAAAATTTCAAAAGCATTTTGTTATTTAAATTTCCACTCAAAATGAACCTCTTTCTTTAATAAATCATATAAATGGAGATGCCACTTTTGCAAAATTCCCTACAAAATATGATAATAATTTACCATGCCCAAAAAAGATTTTACTTCAGCTTTATTACTTGGCTGATTCATATTAAATATATTTTTTAAATTTTTATCAAGAGGCTTCACCTCAACCCCATTAATTTGATGACCTAAATATTACACCAAGAACACTTTTTTCTTTGCTAGCTCTCAAGCCCTTATCCCAAATCTAAAAACTTCTTCAAGACGTTTATTATGTTGTTCTGGCATCACCCCCGTTATCACACCTTCTAGCCTCTGGAAAACAGATGCCATGGTACGTTGGAAAATAGATGCTGACACACTTAACCCAAACGGTAATTTGCAAAATGCAAATAATCCTTTAGGAGTAGTTATCGTTAACAATTTTTGAATTTCTTCTTCAAAGGTAATTAATTGTAAATAAGCAGAAGAACAATCTGCTTTGGAAAAATATTTGAAACTTTTAAATTAGCTTAAATTTCCTCAATCCTAGGCAATGGATATTTAACTTCAACAACCCACCGGTTTAAAGTGAAAATATTTGTAAAGAATGATTAAAATGTGTTTAAAAGGAGATAATCCGCTAAAATTGTTTTGATGGTGAGTATTAAAATGTTTGTGTTAATCATATATATAAATCAGCTTAAGGTGGTTTTTTACTAATTAAGTTGATAGAGGTATAGAAAGAAAATATAAAAAATATATAAGATTGTTTTTAAAATGTGTTGTAAAAAAAGTATAAAATTCATAATTTAAAAAAAAATTTTTTGTTTTAAATTATTAAATTTAATAAATTTAACGTTAAGAGTTAATATTAAATCATAAAGAAATATATATAAAAATTTTTTTTTATTAATGAATTCATCCAAAACCGAGTTACCTCTCATGGACTGTGGTCCCTTTTACCTTCAAATAGTAATTATTCCTAAGATATCCAAATAAGTGATCAAGTGTTTCGAATCTAGGAATAGGGTGACTAATATTGATAATAAAAACGGAATTTAAAAAGCTAAATCTACTATTGATCGGCAATATTTTCGGTGCCAATCAAAAAACATTTGATAGCAGATTGTGAGGTGCCGTCCTATTTATTAAAGAAAAAAATTGTGTTTACCTAAAATTCATAGTGATGAATTAGAGGTATCTAATAATATACCGAGTTATTCTAAAGACTATGATTTAAAGAAAGAAAAACAAGTAGATTTTGGAAAGACTGATTATCATAAATTGAATGAATTAGAGTCTCGAAAAAACGCTATGGAAATAAAGTTTGGCCACCGATATGCTATCAAGGAACAGATAGAACTATAACGAAGGTTCCGAAAGCAACCACCAGCTATACGAGTAATCAAAACCAAGGAAAAATACACTGGATGCAACCACAAGCTATATGACGGTGCCTGATCATGAAAAGATAAACATGAAAGTTCATATTGCAACATCGAATATTGGGTATACCGATAGCAAAATTTAGGAAATAAATTGCTACAATCGGAAACATAATGTAAAAAGAAAAATTGTGATTATACGTATATAAAATTTGTTTATGTAAATAATATTAGTGCTAGATATTTATATTTTGTTTAAAAAAAAATATGTGTCCTTGGCCCTTTAGGGGTGGACCTGTTGTAATCGTCGAAATATATGTAGATATATATCAGAGTTGTTAAACGCTACTTTTAAAAGTAGTGCGCTACCGCTATCGCTATTTGTTAAAAAAAGTAGCGCGCCACCGCTATCGCTATTTGTCAAAAAAAGTAGCTCGCTATTAGCTACTATTTTTTAAAAGTAGCTTTAGCTAAGCTACTTTTTAAACTACTTTTTATAAAAAAAATTTACAAACAAATTTTTTATTTTTTGCTTATAATGTTATTGTATAGTAAATATATAAAAATCATCATTTATAAATATTAAAATATAGTTAGTTTTGATTATAAAAAAATTTATGTAATAAAAATAAATATTTATGGTAATTTGTTGCATTTTAGTAATAAAATCATTTCAATATTATCATCCCCAAGTCTAGAGCGACGATCAGAAAGTATAAGTTTTGCCTTATTAAATAATCTCTCGACACTAGCACTTGAGGGTAAGGGCGCATTTAATCATATATACATATTTTTAATATAAGATAGATTATCAAAATTTTATTTGCAAGTACGTATGTCTGGCATCCTATTATCATTTTGAGGGCTAATGCCACAGATCTTCTTTTTAAAGTTCTAGGGTCTAGTAATGGCATGTGATTCCCAAATAAGCTCAAAAATATTTAATCAGATCAATTTATAAATATAAATAAGTTTTTACCTTCTGTTATGTGTTCAACTATCTCCCGTGATACATATGATATCTCTGATAACTCTACTATTAGAGCATCTTTAATCATTTTAAAGTTATCTGCTATTTTATTCATTAGTGTCTGGCGGCATAAAATTGTTGTATTGTTGTACCAGGGGATAGAGTTTTAATCATCATGGTAAATGATGGATTATCAACTAAGGACATTAGCTGAACTGTATAAATGATAAAATCAACAATAATATCAGCCAATTTCTGTGAAATATTGTCATTTGCATTATTAATTAATTAGGTTTGAATTGAATTAGTCTTTTTGGATGTAGAGTCTCCTATACCAAAATTATATAGATGTTTCTCCATTTCCTTAAAACTCATGAAGAGTCTTATAAAATAAATATTATTAGAATGTAAAAATGACAATTTATCGTTGGGTGTTTCTTGAGGTTATAGCTACTGGATTGATTTGAAGAAATATTTTTTTTACATTTTAAACAAATAAATTTGTAACCAGTTTTGGTTATATATTTATTTTAAAAAATTTTCAAATCTAGGGAATAAGAAATTTGTATTATAGCTATTAAGAACATTTTCTTCCCTGGCATCTTCCATTTCATTAATATCATTGTTTGAATCACTTTCAACGATTTGGATATCCATAGGCGATGACATTTTAAATTATTAACACGTGATTTAGGTTTATAATACAAATGAAAATATAAATTACAAATTGAAATTATATTTTAATTTCAAAATTAAATAATAAATCATAAAAATTATAATTAATTATGATATTATATTTAAATTTTCATGTTTATACTTACCTTCATTATATTTTTTAAAAGTAGCGAAGTAGCGGCTACTTAGCTACTTTCAAAAAAAGTAGCTCGCTAAAAAATTAAATAATTACAAAAAAAGTAGCCGCTATTAGCTATAGCTACTAAAAAAGTTAGCGCGCTACTTTAACAACTCTGATATATATATTAAAACATTAATTATTAGAAATGTCAATCATATAGAATTTATAAATTTTATATTGTATTGATATAAAAATATGAATTTTAATTTTTTATTTTACTTTGTATGAAACGTAGTGAAAACATTTAATAAAAAAAACTTAAAAAATTGAAATTTTGTGATTATTTTATTTTAGTTATTTTGGCAGTTATTTTATATTTTTATAAAAATTCAGTCTTAATTAATTTTTATTTGCCTTTAACAATAAACTATTTTAAAAATATCTGTCTAAAATACATGCTCTATTCCCTGCAAAAGTAAGCTTCTATTGAGTAGTGTGTCTAAACGGCTCGTTTTGAGCTGATTTTTCAAAACGGCTAATTCAATATTTTAGCCAGAAAATTATTACCTAAGCCTCGAGATTTCGATAATATATATATAGACCTTTGCTTCTTTTACTAACAAAATCTTCAGGCTTGCGTAATATTTTTCTGGATGGAATATTGAGTTAGCCGTTTTTAAAAATCGGCTCAAAACGAGCCGTTTAACAACATTACTATTGAGTGAACAATCGTCCTATGGAAGCTCTTGATATAGGGACAAAATAATTTTAAATTTGGGAAATCATATAAAAGAAAAATGTGATATTATTAGATTGTATAAAATTATCTACCCCACCCCCTCTTAGTTATCGAATATCCAAGACACTACACTGAATTATAAATAATTTAAAAAAACTTTTGAAAAAATAAACAGAATGGCGGCATTTATATGTATTCCAACGCGAGAGGTTGTGATGGGGATAGACTGTATTATAATGGCTGTTCTTGCATTGCCATGAATGGCTCCATCTTAGTCCAAGGAGATCAATTTTCCCTCGAGGACGTGGAAGTTTTAACAGCTACCGTTGATTTGGATGATATATCGGCCTATAGAAACTCCCTTAGGAGTAGGTTTGTTCATTTTCATTTATTTATTTTGCTTTAATTTTTTTTCTTTCTAATTCTTTTTTTTATTCATAACACTCACCCCTAGTTTTTTGAGTTCATAATAACATTGCTAGCCTATAATCTTCTAAAATTTATCATCTTAAATCTGTATAGTAACATAATTAATGAGTATAATTTTAAAATCTGTTTTTTGAAATGATATTTTAAGAGCCAAAATGAAAATTTGTAATCAATTTAAGACAATTTGGTCATGAACTTTTGAGTTATAAAAATTTAATAGTATTAAAAAATCCTGTAATTCATATTATCGGTAACATATATACCAATTTAAATTCATCATTGTCATATTCATAAAATACAGAAATATAAAAAATAATTGTAATATTTTGCATTTGGAAAATAATGTTTATAATTACATATTTAATCAACTTAAATTATTTTTTGAACGCGTTTATTTTAAAAACATGATTATACATATAGAACTAGGCGGGAAAAGAGAGTGTTTCAAAGAAACACTTATAGTTCCCTCTTAAGATTTCGAATTGTATTTTTTGTTTGAGGGACAGGGACTCGTTTTTCCCCCCTGTCCTTATTGAGATTTTTTTGCCCAATTGATTTAAGAATTTTTGGGATTGGGGACCTAGGTTCCCCAAAACGCTAAAAATTAGGGGAATAAAAATAAAAGAATTAATGAGGGATCAATATTTGTTGATTTTATTAGTTTCTTGGAGATCCAAGGGGTCAGAGTTTCTGTTAGCAGGGAAAGAGGTAACGCAAGAGACATCCCAGACAAGTCTTTTGCCACAGTGCCAAGATGTCAAAGACATGCCATCGGGACGCTTACCATCCTCATTTAGGAGACCTAACGGCTCCAAGCTATTGGGGAAACCGGCCGAAATCAAAGATTTGCCGATTAACCTATTTATGTTGTGTCTCAAGAAACGGCCACTGACTTTGAGACAAGAGAAACAATGTCTAGAGAATAGATCCACCTGCTTATTACATGCCGCACAGGTGTCAACAGAAGGGATAAGGCAACCTAGCCTATGACCAATGGCAATTTGGAACTCGTCGTTTGTGAGTAACGTTTCCTTTTTACCACTCGGAATCGCGTCTAGCCATTCATGGCCGTTAGAATTTTTTTTTGCGTTTCTGAGTAGTTGAAGGTTAGTTAGGTCGGCAAACGAACAAAGTTTTTCAAAAGCACATTGAAGCATGGGGACCAGGAAGCTCTTTAGATGGCTGGAGACTGGCTGCCCGGATCCTTCGAGAACTAGAGTTAGCCAAGATTGTTTGGCAGAGGTTAAAAGGGGATCGTTCAACCCTATAAGCGAGGAGATGGAATCGTTAAATGAAATTCGAGACGAAAGAAAACTGGCAATTGCCATTAAAGGGGGGGGGGGAGAAAATCCAAGACCACCCCGGAAAGCGGGCATAGAGGCAAAGGACCAATTAAAGTCGGAAAAGTTTAGGACTAAAAGCGATTCGATAAAATGTTTAAATTTTAAATCGAAGGACTTCAGAAGGTGATCATATTGGAAAGCAGGAGTTAAAGATATGTAAGAATTTAGGTAAGAACAAACATTTTTTTGTGAGGAAAAAGAACTGATGCTTGGGGAGATGAGGAAGAATCCTAAGAGAGTTAAAGAGAGATTAAATCAGATTGTCAAAAAAATTTTGACAGAAGGAAGATGAGGAGCCGATAGGAGAACCCAAAAGACAGAGATCCTCGTGCAAGATAATTTTAAAATCAGGGGGAGGGATATAAACCACGTTGTTAAGAGAGATTTCGCATTTATTCCTATTAAGGGAAAGGCCAATTTTAGAGGCTTCTATCTCAACGTACTCGATGGCCGACAAAACATTGGGTAAAGATCCGCCAAACGAGCCATCGTCGAGATACCATAGATTTAGATCTAAATTGAAATCTGGTTTCAAATTTTTTATAAAGTCCTGAATACCTAATGTAAATAGCAAGGGACCTAGTGAATCACCTTGCTGGATCCCCTCTTCAGAGAATATGGAAAATTTCCCGAATTTAAGCAACGAGGAAAAACCGTAGCAAGAATTAAGAAAATTCCAATATTTAGGAAAATGTTGTAGGAAGGAGGGTAGGAATGAGCTCCTATGAATGCTATTGAAGGCATTTCTGAAATCTAACTTACAGAAAACCTTCTCAGCCTCAGTATTTATAAAAATACGAGCTACATGTGAGGCCACTTCACATCCGCCCCTGACTCCAAATCCTAACTGAGCGGGAAAAAGGAGGGAACTGGCCTTAGAACGGATCCTATTGACTATGACCTTGGCTACTAATCTACGAAAAAACGATCCTATGGCTATTGGTCTAACACCACCATCCGGTTTGGTTAAGGAAACATGACGAGCACCAAAAAGGATGGGGCGGATATCAAGAGGAACTTCGCATATGAGGATATTATTACAAAGTTCGGTTACTGATTTAAGCAAAGGGTCAATGAAACCACTATCAGTGCAACGGATTAGATCAACAAAGAACCCTGGTCTGAAACCGTCTAATCCACCTGTCGTCCCTTTCTTAAAAAACTTCAAGCACTTGAGAATTTCATCGCAGGAAAAGGGAGCAGGAGAAGAGCCGAGAGGGTGAATGTTAAATGGGGAAGCAGGTGGATGCTTCTCGAAAGCTGTTGAAAAGAAGCATTGATAGGAGAAATGGTATCATCAGAAGTTAGAATACGGGCAGCACCACTGATATCACCAAGATCTAATTTTTCGGAGATCAATTTACAGCGGAAAGAGTTAGGATTTAAAGAATTAGAAGGGGTGAAATCATCAATAATGGAATTTCCAAAATTGAACACTTTCTCCTTAATTGAGGCAGATAAATTATTTATTCTATTTTTAGGCTTAGCTAGAACTCGGAAACAAAAACTGATCAAGTCTAACCATAAAGGGGTTGAGGAGAAATCTGAATTCAAATTATTTATAAGAGATGTGAGGAATTTTGAAATCGACTCTCGGGCAGCTATGGGGATCCTAGATAAAACTGGGGGTTTAAGGGAAATAAGGAATAAATCAACAGAATTTGGGGAACGACAATCAGGACTGGGGTCGTACGAGTGGGGAGATCTAATAGAAAGATTTGGGAGAGAAGGGAGGGGGAATTCTCGGGAATTAAGGCAGGAGGGTGAACCATGTTTCCTAAAAGTGCCATTCAAATTAAGTGAAATTATTTTTAAGCACACATGGCAACAAGCGTTTACCATGATGTAACTTTGGATAGCAGCTTAGCTGAATATAATGGTAGAAAAAAAAATTGTTTGACAAAAGTTAAAAGAATACTAAAATGCTGGTAGAGATAATCATAGGATAATTTGAGTCTTAGGGTATATAAAAAAATAAAAAAAATAATAAATTAACTTATTGTATATGAACGAGAGGATTAACTTTGTTCAAAAAAATAATAGCATATGAAAAAAAAATTTATGATTATGGGAAAAAGAAATAAATAAATAAATGTATAATATAAGATTTAAATTAGTTCAAAATATCTATATGATTTAAAAAGGTTGGGTATATGATAGAATGATTTATTGGTAAATTCCCAACAATGTTATTGGAAATATATAATTTAAATTTAAAAAAAAAGAAGTTTGTTAAAGCAATTATGATAAGCAATTATGGTATATTAAAAATGTGAGTCAGTAGTATCTAGATTCATGAATATTAGGGGTTATAAGATTGAGTAATGTTTAAAATAAAGATTTACCTTTAAAATATTATAATAAAAATAAAATTAACTGATTACGAAGAAGGAATCTGAATGTTCAAGATATTGACAAAAAAAATAAATATTAAGTTCTGTGGGCCTTAATTGGTAACATGTCTAGGAGTATTTATTTGATGATGTTGTAAAAAATTTGCATGAAATATTTTGAATGGGCAAGATTGTGGAAATTTTGTATGATAGGTTGTATCGTGGAGATTCAATATATTTAGCTTTGGCTATTGCATATACATCATAAGATTTTGCATGACATATTTTGAATGGACATGATTGTGGGAATTTTGTATGATGGGTAGTATTATAGAGATTCAATATATTTTTGCTTTGGCTATTTCATATACATCATAAGATGTGGTAGGCTTATCAATCAGTTTGTGGATAAGATGAAGGGATCTGAAGGTTAAAGATATTGGTATACCTATAAGTGGTAACATATATTGGAGTATTTATTGGAGCATGCTGTATTTGCATGAAATATTTATAAGGTTCTGTGGGCATTAATTGGAAGCATATTGGAGAATTTATTAGAGGATGCAATATTTGCATGAAATATTTTGAATGGACTTAAATTATTTCATATACTTCATAAGATGTGGGTGGTATTGAGGAGATTCAATATATTTTGGCTTTGGCTATATACAAGATAAGATGTGGTAGGTTTATCAATCAGTTTGTAAGGTGAAGGAATTACAATGGTAAGCTAGGCCTTGAAAGAGAGCGAGCAATCAGGTGTTATATATATGATTTCTAATGACCGTTAATAGGGTCAGGTACTCAATAGAATCAGGCATACGATCTATATAACAACAATTTCGATGGATAGATAAAAAATTATCTTGGTATACCAATATCTTTAACCTTCAGATCCCTTCATCTTATCCACAAACTGATTGATAAGCCTACCACATCTTATGATGTATATGAAATAGCCAAAGCAAAAATATATTGAATCTCTATAATACTACCCATCATACAAAATTCCCACAATCATGTCCATTCAAAATATGTCATGCAAAATCTTATGATGTATATGCAATAGCCAAAGCTAAATATATTGAATCTCCACAATACTACCTATCATACAAAATTTCCACAATCTTGCCCATTCAAAATATTTCATGCAAATTTTTTATTGCTCGCTCTCTTTCAAGGCCTAGCTTACCATTGTAATTCCTTCACCTTAATTACAAACTGATTGATAAACCTACCACATCTTATCTTGTATATAGCCAAAGCCAAAATATATTGAATCTCCTCAATACCACCCACATCTTATGAAGTATATGAAATAGTTTAAGTCCATTCAAAATATTTCATGCAAATACTGCATCCTCTAATAAATTCTCCTATATGCTTCCAATTAATGCCCACAGAACCTTATAAATATTTCATGCAAATACAGCATGCTCCAATAAATACTCCAATATATGTTACCACTTATAGATATACCAATATCTTTAACCTTCAGATCCCTTCATCTTTTCCACAAACTGATTGATAAGCCTACCACATCTTATGATGTATATGAAATAGCCAAAGCAAAAATATATTGAATCTCTATAATACTACCCATTATACAAAATTCCCACAATCATGTCCATTCAAAATATGTCATGCAAAATCTTATGATGTATATGCAATAGCCAAAGCTAAATATATTGAATCTCCACAATACTACCTATCATACAAAATTTCCACAATCTTGCCCATTCAAAATATTTCATGCAAATTTTTACAACATCATCAAATAAATACTCCTAGACATGTTACCAATTAAGGCTCACATAACTTAATATTTATTTTTTTTTGTCAATATCTTGAACATTCAGATTCCTTCTTCGTAATCAGTTAATTTTATTTTTATTATAATATTTTAAAGGTAAATCTTTATTTTAAACATTACTCAATCTTATAACCCCTAATATTCATGAATCTAGATACTACTAACTCACATTTTTAATATACCATAATTGCTTATCATAATTGGTTTAACAAACTTCTTTTTTTTAAAAATTTAAATTATATATTTCCAATAACATTGTTGGGAATTTACCAATAAATCATTCTATCATATACCCAACCTTTTTAAATCATATAGATATTTTGAACTAATTTAACTCTTATATTATACATTTATTTATTTATTTTTCCCATAATCATAAATTTTCTTTTCATATGCTATTATTTTTTTGAACAAAGTTAATCCTCTCGTTCATTTATACAATAAGTTAATTTATTATTTTTTTAATTTTTTTATATACCCTAAGACTCAAATTATCCTATGATTCTCTCTACCAGCATTTTAGTATTCTTTTAACTTTTGTCAAACAATTTTTTTTTTCTACCATTATATTCAGCTAAGCTGCTATCCAAAGTTTAAAATTATTTATTTTTAAAAATTATTTTGTTTGAAAAATTCATCTATCCATCCCAAATGGCGAAGATTTTCCGGTTCATCTTTTGGAAGAATATAACCTAACAAATGAAATGGAATTTTGATGTCTATGGATTCAAATATTCTTAACTCATTCCTTATCATGAATTATTCAAGATTAAAAAACAAATAAGAAATATATGTCTTTATATTTAATATATAAATTACAATTACAATATCGGAAAGGGTAAGTTCCACTCATTTAATTAAACTACAACTGGGTACAAGGTTTGTTGGTATCCTTGAGAAAAAAATCGGCATAATTTTATGAAGGGTGGGCCTTCATAAAATTCACGTTCGCTCATTTTGGGCAGGTCTATGACCAACGTGCTATATAAGATAAGATAAGAAGATTTATCAAATTTATAAATACTCGCCTGATTTTATATATCACGTGTAGAACTCGTGATCTCTGTCCTAAAAATGTATAAAAGGGACTAGATTTTATAATTATTATGACTTTGACTTTTTGTTTTTTTTGTAATTATATATTTAGTTGACGAATAAAATTTGGAGTTGAATATTTATAATTTTAGTTTTAGAGTTGTGTTGGTAAATTGAGTGGGTTATTAAATTGCCATGTAGTGGTAGGTTTTTTTATTGTATATAATTTTCACAATCATAAAATAAAAATATTTCTAAGTTCATTAAACTTGTCCATTTGTTAAGGTTACTTTTAAGAAGTAACTAATTATAGTTAAAAGTTATATCATATTAGTTCCAGGTTATAAGATACATTTTAAAATAAAAGCATAATGTGACAATTTATACAAAATTATTTTAAATAACTTAATATTCTTAATTATGAAGGCCAAGCAACGACTCATGATCGAACCGAAAGTCGCTATATTAAAAGACCATATCGTATTTTTTTTTAAAGGATGCAAATAAAATAAATACATATAAAATAGGGTAATGATGTATAGCGTTGAGCGTTATTGATATATTTTTTTTATCTGGTTTAATAAAAATTATATAGCGTCGTAATTTTATCATTTTATACAAAAAAATTTGTTGTTTTAGAGTAGCGTCTGTGGCCTAGTTGGTGAGTGCGTGTAATAGTTATCGGTTCGAATCTTGCAAGTTCCATGTTTTTATACTGAATCCAACTCGTTGATTCCGTGCTTTGGGGTATGGTACATAGATATAGAATATCGGGAGCGACCGCGAGATTCCGTTAATATATATTTAAAATAAAAGTGGATCTTATTATATTTTAATAAAATTTGGACGTAGTTTAGCTAATTTAGTCGCTATTTAGCAATCTATGTGACAACCAACCCTATATATCACTACCCTAATACATAAAGACATGGAAAAAATATTTTAATATTCAATTAAATTAGAATAGAATAGATAAAAATTGTTAAATATATTTCAATTATTTTATCCTTCATTTTTCAATTTATAAATAAAATAAAATCATGAATATGATATCGGTTAAATTTAATTACATTATAATAAATATTCATAATTGCAAAAGCATATGTTATTATTATTATGATCAAATATGTTTTAAATTAATTTTTAAAAAACAAATTATTTAATTACAGAGATCCGGACTGTATGAAACCGGCCGAAGACCGATTGACTTTTTTTTAAAGTCGGTCGATTTTTGTCTTGGACCTTCACTATTTTCAATATATATTTTATACAATATATTTTAAATTAAATAGAAATACTAGAACAATACATCTATCCTCTAAAACAACTGACGATTATTATGATCTCCTTTTTTTTATATCAAACTAATTATAACATTTATACCTATATATAATATTTAAATAATTTCCTTAGTAACACAGTTAAATGTGTTTATTCTATATTTGAATAAACATATAAATATATTAAATAATATTATCTACACAATATAGTGTTCGATTGGTTCTTTCTATTTCATTAGAATACCTTATGATTTCCACGTACTATTTACAACCATACTGCCCAAATTTTTTGAAATTTGTTCTTTAAAATCTTTGTTATACTTAAGTTTTAAATGGTCGTAAAAGAGTAAAATATATTAAATTAGCACGATGTAGTAAAACATTCTTAGCAAAATATATCCGGTGGGTATTCTAAAATATACATTTTAATATAATAAATAAAACATACAAATACCTACTACAATTTTCTAATACAATTTATAGATCCGCCCAAATTTCCACTTCCAAACCCTTCCCAAGATGTAATGCCTTAGACTTTTACGCCACTTACCCTTCTACCAATACACGGTCTCCCAACCTTAATCACTGCACTTTATCTTCTAAAGATGATGGTGTTTGTATTCCGCGGCTCACTACGCCCATAGGAGAATGGAAATATTTTACTCCGGAAGAGGAGATTAGCAAAGCTCCAGCCTTATGGCTATGGGATTACTTGAGAAGATCGGGACAATCTGGTTTCTTCTTGCCACTCAGTGGTGGCTTGGATAGCTCGAGCGTGGCTTGCATAGTATACAGTATGTGTAGGATGGTATGCGAAGCTCTGTCCAAAAAAGGTTTTTATATAAAAACTTGGTTGACTCTCATTCAATAAAAGTGTACACACTTAATAATCAGCATTTTAATGAATGAATCTTCAACTTAATTATTAATGTTACTGGGAAGAAAAAAGTAAGTAAGACTATGTCCAAATTCATTTTTAAAAAATTCGAAAATATTCAAAACTTTTTCCAAATTTAAATTTTTGAAATTATGTTTTATGGACATGTTTTTATTTTTATATTTATAATAGCTTAATTTATTTATTTTTTAAAGTTTCGAAAGTAGTTAATTTAATTTTTTGATATTTTGGACACAGCCTAAAAGCATAAAATAATTAAAAGAAATGGAAACTGATATTTTTATAAAAAATAGGAATTCTAATTTAGTATAAAATTTATTTCATTTTCCGTAAACATAAGATAACGCCGATATCTCAAATGAACTCAAACGTATCTTAAACATACCTCCTAAACAAGCGTTTCCTCCTTCTAATCTCAAAATTACTCCGGAATGGCTGTGTGAACAACTCTTGGTGACTTGCTATATTTCTTCCATTAACAGCTCTATCCAAACTAAAGTTTATTTTGTTTTGTGATAATTAAAATGTTTAAATCCATTGCATATAGTTGTTACTCATTTATTTCTACTCTTATCTATTTTTAAGAAGGAAAGAACTCTATAATTTCGTTAAATAGATTGCTATTATTTAAATTAAAGATTGGAAATTTACAAGAATTAGACTAATTTTATAAGGGTCATTCCATGACAAATCAACCACGATTCGGCCGACCCCCTTCGATTTTTTTAAAATTTGGTAAGCAAAGAAAGGTCGATGTAACTAAGAAATAGCCAAAATTTTAGCCTCCTAACATTTATATTTTTGAAGATATTAGGGTTCAAAGTGTCAAAAATGACGTATTTTTACCATTATCTGCCTTCATTCAATTAAGCATATCTTAAAAACTACATAATTGTAAATAACAAATTTAATATCAAAATTACGTACAAAGATTCTACTTTTAGATAAAAAAATTTTTTTATTTTTTTCATCAATTTCCGGTCATTTTATTTAATATATAAGGACTAAAAACGATTTTTTGGAAATAATACGACCTTCAATTTTTTTAAAAAATTTAGTAGACATTATTAAACTCTTCCTTTATATTTATAAAAAAAAATTGGTCTGGGACGCGGCCATCTTCATTCTCAAAATCGATAAAAATGTTTAGAAAAGTGTATAAATATTTTCCCGAAAGGGGGCGTCTTTGTATAAAATTATATATTAATCAGTTTTTAATGGTTTTTCTTGGACTATTTGATATAATTTAAAGGATTATTCATCTTGTAAGTGAAAATAACAATAAATGGGGCTTTCATTCAATTATAGAAATTGTCTATCGATAAAAGAAATTCAATTTATTACTTTATTATAAAATTTTTTGCCCATATAACATATACTTAATGAATATTAATAAAATATATTCAACCAATTTTATAGTTCTTGAATATATGAATCAGAATCTTGTTCATTTCATAGACGCCAAAAATAATATCAAAATTTTCTCTACTCAATTTTTTAAAATAATTTGAAATTTTTAAAATATTACAAATATTAATTTATTATTATTATGAAATTATATACAAAATAAAAGTATTATCATAAAATTACCCAAAACAATATAAATATTGGATCGGATTTTCTAAAATCGGCATAGTCTTTCTAAATTAGAATAACAATAAATAAGTGTTTCAATCAATAAAATAAATAAAAATTTTAAAATTGATTAACCCTTTCGCGCCCAGCGAGATCATTTGTCATTAAAATTTTTAATCAATTAATTTTTATATTTAAAGAAACTAATGGTTGGTACTTAGAGATATTAATTTATAAAACAATATTTATTATTTCATATTTTATCATTAACCTGTCAAAATCATTATTTTATTATGTCAAAATGATTATTTTATTATATCAAAGTACAAGTATTTTTTGTTTATGGGAAATATTTCAAGCGCGAAAGGGTTTTATTCATTCAATAACACATACTCACTATATTAATTCATTTTTTAATAAATTTCTTGGTATTTTGATTTCTATCAACACCTAACCCCAAGCCTGGAAAAACTATAGACGAATATACAGTTAAAATTGTACAAGAATTTTATTGTATGGACGAAATAAGCAGAATCATACCAGACAAGAAAGATTGCGTTTCGATTTTGACCAAAGACGGAAAAAAGAATACCATAAGAGATTAATTTTAGATAATTTGAAAAAAATTTATATATTTTTTAAAGAAATGAGGCCTGATGTTAAAATTGGTTTTTCGAAATTCGCAAGCATTCGCCCAAAAATTGTATACTCGTTGAAGGTAGTGGTACACATGTATGTGATTGCAGCTACCACCAAAATTTAAATTAATGATCATTGGATCAAATTTAACCAATGATATGTTGCCCTTTAAAACATACAAACATATTTTACACTTAATAATTTGTAATTCGCCTCAACCATCCATTTATATGGGCAAATGTGATAATTGTCCAGGGTCAACACATTTACGCGATCAAATAGAAATATTGTTTCGTTCTAAGGACATCGAATTTATAACATACAAACAATGGCTATCCGTAGATAGAACCACCCTTGAAACAATAACCAAACCAGTAGGTGAATTTATTAATGCCTTTTTAAAATAAATGGAATCTTTATCATTTTTTTATTTCAACGCAACAATCGTTGTATCAAAACAATCTAAAATTGAACTTAGACGAAGACCAATATTTAATTTTGTGATTTTTAAGAAAACTATAGCTTTATACTTTAGGATGAAGTACAAAATTATCATTGGAATAGGGCTCAATCCACTGTTCACCCTTTTGTTATATATTATAAAGATAATTTTGCCAATATTTGTTGCCTAAATTATGTAATGATATCCGAATCTTTGCAACACAATACAATAGCAGTACATAATTTTAAAAAAACATTGCTCAATTTTTTAATTAATAAAATTTTTTATTTTTCGGTGGATCCGCTGCACAGTACAAAAACGTAAAAATTTTATTAATATTTGCCATCATGAGATGGATTTCGGGGTACAGGCGAAATGGCATTTTTCTGCTACAGCACACGGGAAAAGTGTTTGTGATGGGATTGGTGGCACTGTTAAAAGATTAGCCGCTAGAGCTAGTTTACAAGGCCTTACTCAAAGTACACATCATATGAATTGTACGAGTTAGCTAAAGAAAATATTAATGTCATATATTTTGAATAGATGACCAAAATAAATTATGATTACGAAGATCTATTACTCAGGGAAAGATTTTCAAAAACTAGATCTATACCTGGAACACACAAAATACACCTTGATTCCAACAGATCTACATAATTTAAAAGTAAAATATATTCCAATTTAATAGAAAGTACTTTGGAATAGTTATCATATAATGATGAAAGTATAATTATTGAAGAAATATCATGATACCTAACTTATTTTTATGATTCTAATTGGTGGTTAGCTTTGTTTTAGTGAAAAATCAAAAGCAGGAAGAAATATATATAAAGTTTCTACACCCATCCGGACCTTCAAATTCCTTTACATTTCCAAGATAGACGACACTCTTTGCTTGCCCAAATGTCATATCTTAACATTAGTTTCACTGTTAAATGCTACTGGCCGTAGTTATACTATACATTGTCGTCACAAGAAAGTAAATGCGCTACCGAAAAATTAGAATCTTTTAAAAGTAAGTTTAAATTTAAATTATAGTAATTTTTTTAATATTTAGGGCGCCATATATGAAATGCACAAGATTCTGATTCATATATTCAAGAACTCGAAACTTAATTAAACATATTTTATTAATATTTATTAAATATATGTTATATGGGCAAAAATTTTTATAATAAATTATAAATAAAGTAATAAATTGAATTTCTGTTATCGTTAGACAATTTCTATAATTGAATGAAAGCCCCATTTATTGTTATTTTCACTTACAAGATGAATAATCCTTTAAATTATATCAAATAGTCCAAGAAAAACCATTAAAAAATTATTAATATATAATTTTATACAAAGACGCCCCCTTTCGGGGAAATATTTATACACTTTTCTAAACATTTTTATCGATTTTGAGAATGAAGATGGCCGCGTCCCAGACCAATTTTTTTTTATAAATATAAAGGAAGAGTTTAATATTGTCTACTAAATTTTTTAAAAAAATTGAAGGTCGTATTATTTCCAAAAAATCGTTTTTAGTCCTTATATATTAAATAAAATGACCGGAAATTGGGAAAAAAAATAAAAAATTTTTTTTATCTAAAAGTAGAATCTTTGTATGTAATTTTGATATTAAATTTGTTATTTACAATTATGTAGTTTTTAAGATATGCTTAATTGAATGAAGGCAGATAATGGTAAAAATACGTCATTTTTGACACTTTGAACCCTAATATCTTCAAAAATATAAATGTTAGGAGGCTAAAATTTTGGCTATTTCTTAGTTACATCGACCTTTCTTTGCTTACCAAATTTTAAAAAAATCGAAGGGGGTCGGCCGAAAATCTCATTTTTTTGCTCATTTGACGTGGAATGACCCATAAGTAGAAATGTAGGTTTAATAAAAGATATTGTTTAACTTAACTCAAATATAGCAAAAAATCAGAGTTGTTTAAGTATCTATATATAAAAAATGTGGTATCTGTATCTAGATAGATTTTTGATTAAAGTATCTGTATCTAGATATTATTTTAGAGGTATCTGTATCTGTTTTTAGATACTTTTATGATACATTTTGATATACTTTTATATAACGCTTTTTTATATTATAAATAAAAATACTTGTGTAAAATTTATTTTATTTCATATGAGCATATAAATTAATATTAATATATATATTAAAAAATTATATATATATGTAAAATATTAAAATTAATATATAAAAATGAATATATAAATATTAATTAAATATTATGTCCGAGATATCATTAACAAGCAAATTCTGATATTACAATCAATCTCAAAGAATTTGCAATTTTAAATTGCAATGGAATTGGTATTTTATTTTATTTTATTCTATAATATTAATTTTTAAGATTAATATTGATGACGAAAATGACGACATTCCATGGCCAATTTATAGACCATATTTTAAAATAATATCTCAAAATAAAGAAAACAAATCTCTGTTAGTAAAATGTTTGCTATGTCCAAAAAATATGAAAATTTCAGTTAGCATTACCTCAACTTGCAACATTGTAAAACATTTAAGGGTATAGATATTAAATAAATGTTTACAATTTTAAATTTTAAGAGAAAACATCAAACAAAAAAGGGGAAGGAGAAAAAATCTATTAAAGAACATATTGGACTAGGCTCATCGTCCATTGATTTTTTTTCAAGAGACCTCATACTTTAACCCAAACCATTTTAGATAATTTAATATCTGATTTTATTATAGATAGCATTCAGCCATTTTCAATTGTTGAAAATCCATCATTTATAAAAATGATCAAAATATTAGCTACACAAAAAAAATATAATTTGTAGACAGACAGTGGTTGCTAGAATT